CAGCAGCTCCGGAGATCCAGGCCATGTTGGGACTTAGGGCGCTGGGAAACCAAGCAACCAGCCCGCCTCCCTGCTGAGTGGTAGGGAGCCTGCTGGCGCACAGGCTGAGAATCAAGCATCCCACCTCCCCCCGCCCCCGTTAGCAAATGGGAGCCAGAGATCTGAGCATCTCTAGGGAGGCTGACCATATGCAATATACCAAATGAGGATTTCCTTCTACCATCCCTTTGAAGGCAAATATTTTTAACACTACTTTGCTTTATTCTGATTAATAGTATTGCTCTATTTAAATACTCTGTTTTGACAAGTTCTATAATGTTCTGTATTTCATGTTATTTTGCTCTACCTGATTAAAAGAGCAACTATTGTGAAGATAATGAGACATACGGTGGTACCTATTACTGTTATCCCAGTAACCTGCTGTGAAGTTCTATACCAATTTCACTACACTGTCTAAATAGCTTTGTTCTGTCTTGTTCTGTTGTATTTTACTACCTTCAAAATAATAAAAAAAAAATTTTAAACATTCCCCTTACGTGGTTACTTCGACCTTGGCAAAGAGCATCCAGTTGCATGGTATGGCTCTGGTGAGGAAGTGGATATGGGCACACTCCATAGGATGTGTCTGATGTGCTCCGGTGGATGGCAGTTGGCGGCGGCAGCCACCATGTGTTTGTAATCACATGTTATAAAAGACCTTTATGAAAAAGTACTTTCAGAACTGCTTCAGAAAGTCAGGAATGACGGGATGTAGGGGGGAGAGGGGGAGACAAAGTGCAGGATCAATGGCAATGTGTCTTTTACTGTAATCTTTAAAAGTTTAAACATTTCTATTTTTCAATCTCCCCTTGTACATTGCTTTTGTTGTGTAGCCAGATGCTGTAAGTCAATATACAGTATGCTGACTTGTTAAGAAATAGTACATTTACCTCTAGCACCACAAAAAGACACACTAACCACAGTTGTATATTTTATTAGTGCCTGTCTGCAGCACACAGTGTTTCCATGCGTTGGTGGAGCTGGAATGTGTCCAGAACACACCCTGGCTCCCTCCTTCAGCCCTCTCCCCTCCCCCACCCCATCCCATCTCTTCTCGTTTGAGAAAGGTTGGTCTCCATGCTTCTTAGTATTTTTTATTTTGCTCTTTATTTATAACTTGGGTTTCTCCTATAAGCGGAAGCATGCAGCATTTAGGCTTGTGTGTCTGATTTATGTCACTGAGCATTATGATCCCACGTGCATCCCTTTTTCTACAGATGACTCAGCCTTCTCTTTCTTTACGGCAGACTAGGTTGCTGATGTTCTTTGGTCCTCATCAGTAACACAGATTTGGTCACCGGATGGACTAGAATCAGCATCTAGACCTTCACTTAATTCATCAGATTTTGTTTTGCTTAATCTTTGTCCTCATCCTTACAGATACTAGAAATTTCTTCCATTTTTCCTCCTTTGGAAGTAGTGAGTTTTTCAAGAGAATCTACTATTTCACTTCTCAACTCATCTTCAGATTCTTCAAAATTTCTTAGATTATAAGTAGTACAGATCAGAGTTATGAGCGCACCAAATGAAGACCACTTTTCCTTTTTATTCTCCACGCCCACTTTTGAGGGGGGTGGAGCGGTCACACAAGGTGGGAGTACAGTGCACTGACTCAGGTTTTTGTGCTGATTCTGGTACAGAGAAATCCGAGGCTCTGCCAGTCATAGAACAGGACAGCATATACAGTTATGTACGGTACCCAACTGGACAGTAACAGTCTGTGCTTCTGGTTTGTACATTTACTGTACTACACTTTGCCATTATTTTTGCATGTGTTGCTACTTCTAACAAAGTTTACTGTAAGCTGGGTGTGGTGGTGCACCGTAGCACTTTGGGAGGCTAAAGCAGGAGGACTGTATGTTCAAACACATCCTAGGAAACTTAGAACTTATCTCAAAGTTTAAAAAAAAAATTCAGGGCTGGGGATATAGCTCAATGGCACAGTGCCTACCTGAAAAGCATGAGGTCCTGAGTTCGAGACCAGACACCAAAAAAAAAGAAATAAAAAGACTTTAAAGGACTGGGGATGTAGGTCAGTGCAAAGGCCCTGGGTACAATCCCAGTAGCATCACAAAATTTACTGGAAAGCAGTATATCATGTCACTACACCAGCAGGGGCCACATACATGTTGTATTTCCTGCACCTCTTGACTGCTGTAAGAGGCCACATGAAGTGACTGGCCCACACTATTGAGGCCTGTGAACTGTCACTCGGACTCCATGATGAGGTCACCTAACAGTGCATTTCTCAGTTTGTCCCACACTGAGGGACACATGACTATACATAACTAGAAGAACCAGGATATGAAACTGTGTCTAAGAGTGCAAAGTTGATATTTTAAAACGAGAAAGCTCAGGAGACACAAAAATAAGCTCAAAGACCTCCAAAATTTAAGCAGCGCGTGAAGGAGATCATGACAGAGAATGTGCAGACACAGAGGCCAAGGGAGGGGCTGGATGAGAGGACACTGGGAGTGATGACCTGCCGTGGCACTTTAAGTGACAAAGAGCTTTGCGAGAATTGGCGGGTGCCCGCCTACGGTGCCATGAGAAGGTAAGAGAGCTCGGCCTCTGAGCTGGGCTCCTCTTCAGGGAGCCAGGCTCTGACAGTGACTGTGTTATCCAGGCAACACCTGCGCGACGGCTTTTGGTTTTTTAAGATGAGAGGAAAATGAGGGACATGTGGAGCATCCCTGACGGAAATCTGAGCTCCTTCGGGTCCCAAGCATCCAGATAAGGCTGTCACGGGAAGAGAGACACTCAGATACAGGAGAGAGGTGGAACAACTCACAGGAACAAGGCAATGGAAGGAAGCGTGGGAGATGCAAGGGACCCATGGAAAGATGGGCTTCTGCCCAGTGGAGAGACTTCAGAAGGGGAAGACGAGAAGAAAGGACGGCGCGGGGCTCGCGTGAACATGGAGAGGTTATGCAGGGGAGCTGGAACTGAGCGACTCCATAGTGAGCCACACGCAGTCTCTGTGGAGCAGAAGCACAGGCAGGTGGTGAAATCAGGTGGACAAGAGTAGACGTGCAAGGAGGAGGGCGTGCAAGTGTGCACTCAGGGAAAACGGCTGACACAGCATCGCAAGGCAGCACAGGACCCCAGAAACCAGAGGCCATGAATTTGGGGTGGACAAGTCTGAGTTCAGCTCGCATTTCTGCAGTTGTCCTGAGGGAAATGTGTCGCACAAGATCTTGCCTTGATCTGGGTGAACAGGGAGGAATTCGTTTTCAGTGTTGCTACTTAATATTTTATTTCCCGTACAGATGACTCATGATATTTAATAACTGTACAGAGTTAGGCTGGAGGGCAGCCCTGGCCTGGCATGTACATGACCCTGGGTCAATTTCCAACACTTCAAAAATAAAATGGAAATTGTAACGTTCACAGTTTTTTAGTTCCTTTGCAATTTGCATTTCCCTTATTTTTTTGTTTTTATGCATACATTGGACCTCTTCCTCCTCTTTCACATTTTCCAGTACTTTTTTCTCAAATCTTCTAGTTACTAGTTTCCTAACTATTCTGGTTTGTTTTTAGTTTTGTGATTTGTTGTTGTTGTTTTGGATTTTGCTTTTTCCTGTTGTTGTTACTGGAGCTGGAACTCAGGGCCTTCACACTGAGCTCCTCCCAGCCCCTTTGTTGTTTGGAGACAGGATCTCACTCGGTCACTAAGTTGCCTAAACCAGGCTTGAACTTGCAATCCTCCTGCCTCAGCCTCCTAAATACTAGGATTACAGGCCGCATTCTATCAGCAGATTTTTCCAGCTTCTGAAAGTTTTAGTTAATTGTAAAAATCTTTGCTGAGGTCTGAATGTTTGTGTTACCTGCAAATCAAAACCCTGATATTAATGGCAAATGTATTCAGAGTTGGAGCTTCAGAGTAACTAGGTCAAGAAGGAAAAGCCTTGACGGTGAGCCCTGATCACCGTTAGAAAAACAGCCTGTTTACCCTTCTACCATGTGAGGCACAACTAGAAGGTGCAGCCTGCGAACCCTAAAACTCCCCACCGCCAGACATGCCCAACACCTACACGGCTGACACCATGAACTTGATGTTACTGCCCACACAGCTATATGTAGACTTCTGCTTATAAGTTACCTGGTCTGTGGAGGCTGTTACAGCAGCCCAGACACACAAGATCACTTTTCTACTCTGCTGAGGCACTGCTTTTCTTTTTCTTGGGTGGAGGGGTGCAGGAGATTGGAGTCCCAGGTGTTCAAGTATGCTAAGCAGGTGCTGAGCTAAATCCTAGGCCCTTCATTATTTTAATTAAATAATTTTAACTGTATGATATTATAATCTTCCAAAGGTAATATACTGTCTAAAGTTCTTCCTCGTCTAATTCAGCTGTGTTGTGTTACTGTCTCCCACAATAGATTCTGTGCTTTGGGAGGCTGATTGGTTTGTTGGTTTGTTTTTGAGACAACAGTCTTGATATTTTGCTCAGATTGGCCTTAAACCTGACATTCTCCCACCTAAATGTCCCTGAGTACATACTTGGAATTACAGGGATGTATCATCATGCCCAGCTGTGTTTTTTATTTCTGAGAAAGAGGCTTGTCTGACTATATTTGTTTGTGTGTTTGTTGATAATTGCTAATCACCCAGGCTGGGTTTGAACTTGAGATCCTCCTGCCTCGGCCTCCCACAGTGCCGAGGTTACAGGTGTGTGCCAGCATGGCCAGTTGAATTATGTTTTTAAATTTTCAATTGTAAGCTCATGTTTAGCTGAAAAATAACAAGGTTTATAGCCCCAGAATGTTTTATATTTACTTCTTCTAGAGCTCCTAGTAGTGTTACTATCACTTAATGTTAATTTTAATACTAATTTATTGGTACAGATGTTTTCAGACCATATGAGTATTGTAATTCCAGTTCCAAATGCAACTGAAGTACAGTCCATGGCTACAAACCTTCATTGAGAACTTTTCCTCCCCTTTTTCCTGCCTCAAAACAGACAAGCTTCATTACTGAGGTTTTCCTAGATCACCCTGCATCCAGCTAGCAAAAATGAAGGGGCCAGTGGCGAAGACAGGGATCCTCCAGGTGTGTGGGAAGTGCACAGGGAAAGGGAGAGAAGGAAGGAAAGCAAGGAAACTCCAGGACAAAGCAAACTCATGAATAATCCTACGGTAAGAGGGATAGACACAATTTTATTTCATTTTTAAGGTGGGGGATTGAGCCCAGGCTCTTGTACATGCTTGGCAAGCTTTAACACTGAGCTATATTCCCACCTCCCAACTTTTCTAAAAAATTCAATGAATCTGGGTGTGGTGATGCACACCTAGTAATACCAGCACTTGGGAGACTGAGGCAGGAGGATCGCCACATACTGGGCTACATACTGAGTTCAAGACCAGCCTGAACTGCACAGTGAAACTCGGTCTCAAAAATTCAAAACTAAAACGACAATGAATTGAGGATTTTAATGAATTCTCTTAAAGTTAATATGCTCAAGAGGATAAATCAATGCATAGCATCCATTTAAAAAATATTGAGGGGGCTGGAGTGTGGCTCAGTGGTGTAACAGTTGCCTAGTATGAACAAGTTTTATTCTCAGTACTGCCAAAAGTATTTTTGTTAATATGAAACAATTACACATTAGTAAAACTACAAGATAAAAAGAATGTATGAATATAAGGAAAACAATTATCTTGGACATAAAATATGCAGTCATTTACATTTAAAACTCAGTGGATAATATCCAGATAGGGTTAGAAACAGTGTGCAAGAATTCACCTGTAGCATGCACAAGACCCCAGGTTCGATGCAGGAGGAAAAGAACAGAGGGAAGGGGAGAGGGAGAGAAAAGCGGAGGGGAAGAAATTACCAACAATAATTCAAAAGAAAAATGTCTGGCGATATATTTACAGGACTTCAATCCCAGCTACCAGAGAGGCTGAGGCAGGAAAATCACTTGAGCCCAGCAGGTCAGTTCCAGTCCAGGCAACATAACAAGACCCTGCCTCAAGATAAAACAAAACCTGAACAGATGGAGAGCCGTGTTTGTGATTCCTGACCACCATCAGTGACTGAATGGATGAAGAAAACGAGGTCTGTACATTCCAGAGAGTACTGCTGAGCCTTGAAACATCTGTGGTGACCTGGCTGGGTCTAGAGGACACCGCAGCTCAGAGCTGGGCACTGAGAGATGCTGCTCCTTACATGTGGACTCTAGCGCTATACAAACATGGTGGCTCCCCGGGCTGAGGGCGCAAGCCCGGAACCTGGGAGACACCGCAGCCGGCCTGAGACTGCAGTTAGACAGAGGAACAGGCTCCAGGGGTGATCAGAGATCCCTGGGTCAGGGCAACATGGTCGCTATAGTTAATGGCAATAGATTATGTAGTGTACTTGAAACTTGCTAAAAGATCAGAGTTTTCATGTTCTCGCCATAAATAAAGTATGAGGTTATACATAAATTAATCAGCTTGATTTAGTCATTACACAGTGGATATGAATTTCTAAGCATGTTGTACACCATGAATATCCACAAATTTTGTCAACTAAAAATAAATATTTTAAAGAATCATCAGCACAGCAGGTGTGAGGTACACACCTGTAAGCCCAGCATCCTGGGAGGCTGAGGCAGAAAGATTGCAAGTTCAAGCCCAGATCGTGCAATGTGGCAAGATCACGTCTCAAAATAAAAAATTTTTAAAAGGCTGAGGATTTGGCTTAGCTCAGTGGGAAGGCTCTGGGTTCGATTCCCAGCAGAAACACAAAAGGATTCATAAAGATGTCAGTTTCCATTGCTTAACAACAAGTGTAATATCATTGCCATCAAAATCCCAACAAAGTTTCTCACACTTTGAAAGCAAGTATGTACTATGCTGAGTAAAACACAGTAACAGCTAAGATCATTTGAAAGAAATGGTAGGATTACTAGAAGCTGTAGGGTCCAGACATCAAGTGACGTGATAGTGCTGACAGGTATTAAGGCAACATTGGGTGGTGTTACGGTGCACACCTGCAATCCCAGCACCCTGGGGGCTCAGGCAGAAGAATCATGAGCTCAAGGCACCCTGGACTACATAGCAAGACCTTGTCCAAAAAAAGAAAAAGAACCTTCCACAGGGAGAACCAGCAGCAGCTCCTGAGATCTGCGCCATGCTCCTGAGATCTGCGCCATGTTGGAACTTAGGACGCCGTGAAACCAAACAATCAGCCTGTCTCCCTGCTAAGCAATAGTGAACCTACTGATGCACAGCCTAGAGTCAAACATCCCATTACCCCTACCCTCCCTCTTCTGTCCCCCCATTAGCAAATGGGAACCAGAAATCTGAGCGTCTCCTGGGAGGTTGACCATAGCAAATAAGGGGGACTTCCTTCTACCATTTCTTTGAAGGCAAATATTTTTATTACTGTTTTGCTCTTTTCCGATTAATGGTACTGCTCTATTCAATATTCTGTTTTGATAAATTCTATAGTGTTCTATATTTCATCTCATTTGGACATATATGATTGAAAGAACAACTATTATAAAAATAACAAAATATACTGTGATACCTATTACTGTTATCCCGGTAACCTGCTGTGAAGTTCTGTACCAATTTCACTGTACGATCATAGTTGGCTTGATTCTGTCTTGTTCTGTTGTATACTTTCAAAATAAAATTTTAAAAAAAAGAAAAAGATAAAGATAAAAGGAAGGAAAAAGGGGAAAGGAAGGAAAGAAGGATTATCAAAGCAAATGTAAAAAATAATGGCTCCAGAGAAAATAGCCTTAAACAAACCCATGCATACAGTAAAACTTGACCTCCTAAGCTGGGTATAATGGCACACAATTAGGGTCCCAACTACTCAGGTGGCTGAGGCAGGAGGATCACCTGAGTCAGGAGTTCCGGGCCAGCCTGGCAACATGGTGAGACTCTGTCCCTTAAAAAGGAGAAAAGAAACTTTGGTCTCCAAACTTTGGTGTCCTCCCTGTTGGCTATCTTCTGTTTCATCCAGAGCATTTTCTCTGTTTTTACCTATGTTGAATGGAAGCACACGCACATGACCTACTCACGTGTCATCGTCAGACGCTGGCTCCAGCAGTTCCTTGATCTTCAATGCAAGAAGCCATTTCCACCTTCCCCACTTCTCCCTGAAGAAGCCACTGCTTTGCTGTTCCTAGTGTTACAGAAACGACAGCGAGAGTGAAGCAGCCCCGCCTAACCCTTGATGCCAGTAAGTACCAAGAATCCTGTAGTCAGTGCCAACCATGATGGAAAAGCCTAACCATCTGCACTGACACAGATAAGACAGGGACAACAGGAGACCCCCAAGTATTCAGGGCCATGCTGAATGCAATAGGCTGTGCCCCCACTTGTGGGGTACATGCTTTAATTGGATAGAAAATTTAAGAAAAGTGTATGTGTGAGAACTTATGAACTGCCAAAGTAGACCACCCTTGTTCTCCCGAGTCTATAAACTGAATGTCCAGTTTATAGTTAGGCTCAATCATTAATGTCTACAGAGCAAACCCAAAGCTACTGCATAGGCACACACACATATTTTTTTTTTCTTGTTCTTTAAAATGTATTTTTTTCTGGAGCTGAAAGGCTGAGCTCAGTGTGCAATCCCTAGCACCACACATACACAAGTGTATATTTCTCTTAGGAAATGGATTTGAGTAACGATAATAAAGATTTCATTTCTTTAGAGCAACGCAGCACCTCCTAAGAGGGATTAAGGACGTGTCATTGATATCTAGCAGGACTCACTGCCCCAAGCACACAGAAACCACTACTATGGCATCAGGTTTCTGGAAAAGGCTTTACTGGGTGCTCAGTGGGACAGGAGGCCAGGGGCTACAAGCTCAAGTCTGCCTGCTCCCACGCAGGTCACTTCTTTGGTGGGGTGGCGGGGTGGCGGGGTGGGGGTGGGGGAGGTGTTACATTCTGCACAGGAGATCGTGAACTTGTGATGTCACTGAGTGGATGACCTGGCCGCTCCTCAAGTTCTTATTGAAAATTTCGTCCCAAACCATACAAATCATGAATGAAGACCTGAAGGCTTTTCCTGGATGATAAGGGATTTATATCTAGTGTGTCCAAGCCTTACCTAATTTTACCATGCCAAAATATGGTGTGTTGGTATACTGATTATTTGAGACTTATGTCACTTGAGGAACTGTAACTTCAGAAAGGGAAATCTGGCCTGTTTTCTTAGTACAGTAAAACCAGGGATTAAGAGTCACCTGTTTACTGAGGGTCCTACAAGACAAACGCTTCCAATCAATTTTAACTTGATAAACCAGTGATGTCATGCAGTGTGTTTTGTGATGCCAAATGTCACATGATCACAACTGAGCCAATGGTCCTCTCACTGCGGGATTGAGGGCGATCATCTCCCAACAGCAAGAGGTATGGAGGTGATCTCCACTGCAGAGGAGGAGGAAAAGGCGGAGTGGGCCCTTATTTTAAATGAGAGAAAATATGGGAATGGTGCAAGATTTTGTAGAAAAAAAGAAAGAAAGAAAGAAAAGCACCATCTAAATAAGGCTGTAGCAGGGTGAGGGATGAATCTGCTGAGTGACAATGCAATGTCACGTTTCCACAAATCCTCAAAAGGAGGCAACAGCAAAAGTGTCACTGAATAGGTTCCTTGTTAAAGCTGCACAAAAAGAAAACGATTTCACTGAGCCAAGAGCAGCGATTCTGTTAGTGACAGTGAATCCGCCTCTCTCTGGTCTTCCTCACTCCAGTAATAATGGTCTTCAAAGGAAGTGAAGGTTAATTTTTTTCTTTATATTTTTTATTTTGTTACTACTTTGTATTATATCACAGTATCGTAATCGTTTTTACACAAATATTTTTGTTGTAGAACAAATTGTCTGATTTTCCATTCTGTATTATGGGGAAGTTTGCTTGGATACACAAGTAATTTGGGTTACAAGCATGTTTCCAGAATAAATTACGCTGTAAACCAAGATTTTACTATATACTGTGTATTCCACTGAGTCGTTTTCAGAAATAAACGGACCGTCTGACTCTCTCAGGGAGAGCTAAGTAGCTCAGTGGCTAGATCATGACCTACAAGTCATTAGTGCTTCTCAGCAGTTTTCAATTGATTAAATCATAGAAAATGATGCCACTGACTTCGGAAGTTCCTGTCATTTGTTAGTGGCATTTGGAACAGGTAGAGACAAAGCAAACCAGATTCTGAGAAGCTTAGACACTTCCCAGGTCTCTCTCCAGGCTGAAGGTGTTGCTACCCCTTTTCTGCATCACAAATCTTTAACACAATTCCTCAGAAGACTGAGGATTATGGGTGTGTTAAAAATAAAACTACAGAACTATACCCAGGTATGGTGGCACATCCTGTAATCTCAGCGCTCAGGAGGCTGAGGCAGGAAGATCACCATGAGGTCAAGGCCAGCCTGGACTACATAGTGAGACCCTGTCTCAAAAACGACAACAACAAAAACCCACTACATACCAAGATCTTCTTCACTGGCAGAGAAAGAGCTACTTGTTAGATGTGCTGCCATCAAAACACTCAATTTCCTGGCGCCTCGTGCTGACACTGCTTCCTACTTTCTTGAACATCTTCCATCACAATAACTTGGCCTGCAGAGGAAACTGTGTCACCAAAGAAGAATGCTTCTGCGTTTGAGTTTTCATAAAATCCAGAGTGTTAATCTGTTGGAGATCATTCCACGTCTAATGTTACTAATGGAGAAACTAAAGTACAAAGGTTTAGTTTACTTACTCTCACACAGCAGATGAGAAGAGTCGTGTTTTGTCCTTATACTGACTTTTATTTGGTGATGAAATTTCTATTCTATTTGCTTAACTTGGGCTTCCCTTCATTTGTTAAGGATTAGATCTAAAATGTTCCATGGAAGTCTCATGTATTCAAGGTGGGGCTTGTGGGAGACGCTGGTCAGGGGGGGCACTGGACTCCTCAGTGGACACAGCATGCTCTGGAAGGGGTATTCTCACCCCAGCTCTCTCTCCCTGCTTCCCAGCTGCCAGGGGTGAGCAGCTTCCTTCTGCCTTTCCACCACACCATTTCTTTCTTTCTTTTTAAATTTATTGAATAATGCAATATAAGAAGCCAAGGGCCAAGGATATAGCTCAGTAGTACAGTGCCTGCTTGCAAATGCAAGGTCCTGAGTTTGAGTCCTGGTACAAAAAAAATATATATTCAAATGTAAACACTACAGCCACTTCTCTTCCTACAGAAAGCCAAAACAGCAGACATAATTATTGCCTGTTTAAGGATTTTGCTAACTTGATCCTGCTGCCATAGTTCCTATTTTGCCAAGAAATGTAAACTACTTGATATGACTTATAATTTTTTAAAACTTTATAAAGCTCTATCATTTTTGTCACCAGAATAGTTTGTTTGAGAGGGATTTGTTTTTTTTTTTTTTTTTTTTTTTCTTTTTTTTTTTGTCTTTTTCATTTTTATCGGTACCGGGGATCGAACTCACGACCGCCTGCTTGCAAGGCAGGTGCTTATGCCGCTGAGCTAAACCCCCAGCCCCTTGAGAGGGATTTGTAAAAAAAAAACAAGCAGCATGGGGCTGAGATCCCAGGCAGAGATCCCCCACGGCACCACAGGGTACTGATTCCATCACACCGTGTCTGCCTCGGACCAACAAACCAGGGTCCGAATCTCCTGAACCATGAGCCAAAGCAACCTCTTCTCCTTTAGGTTGAGAATGTTGAGTATTTTGTCACAGTGACAAGAAAATGACTAACACAGTGTACTTACCTTATTGAATGGAAGTCAATTTGCACACTTTGTAATCTCAAATTTCAGTAATATCTTGGTTGTCGAACTCAAATTGTTTCAAATTTATGTTTGAACACCAAAAAGTTCAAGGACTGAACATATTTTTCCCATAAGAAATAATGGAAAACCAAATAATTAGTTCTGAGGCCCCAAAATCAGACTTGTAAATTCGTTTTTGAATTTTGGACTTAGACAAATTTTGCAGTGATTTCTTTCTTTAGTTCTGTCATGGTTCAGTTTTCCTCTTGGCTTTACTGCTAGTATCACTTTCTTTGGAACCAAGGCTAAAATATTTTATGCAAATGTGAGAAAAAAAAGCTCAGTGACAAATGTTTTAGCTCACTAACACAAGCACGGTGTGTTACCTAGGTAAGAACAGAGGTTAGATGGAAGGGTCACCCCTTTGTGTTCACAGCGAGACAAGATGTGTGAGTCTCTCTCTCACCCCATGCAGGTTTTTTCAAATTGGATTTTCAGTCTGACTGTCAAGCAAAGTTACAAACACAAAGAACATATTTTATAAATTTTGGTTTTCAAGCAATGGAAAGTTCAAGCTGTGGAAATTTCAAACTTAAGAGCTATTCAATAACCAAGATATCACTGTATACTCATCCCTTAGTATTCAAGGAAGCTCGTTCCCAGGACACTCCAGATATTTAACATCTGTGGAGGCTCAATCCTTATATACAATGACAGAATTTTCATATACTCTGGCACATCTCTCATGTACTTTAAATCATCTCAAGATGGCTTCTGATACCTCATACAACATACATGCTATGTAAATAGTGAAGCAAAGTCTGCACACATGCTGCACAGATGTAGGTTTCTTTCAAATATTCTCCACCCATGGTTGGTTGAACCTGAGGAAATGAAGGGCTGACTAACGTATTTCAACTTATATCACAGATATAAAATTGGGCTCTTTCCCTTCCCTTTGCCATGTATTCAAGAGGAACATACAAAATACGTAATAAAAATCTCCACAGTCTGTAAAGATAATGCCCAGAAGTTGCTGTTGTGGCTTGTGTTTAATATCCCCCAGAGCCTCATGTGGTCACAGGTGGGGTTTCTCAGAGGCGGCTGGATCTAGAGTGTGTAACGGATTAATGGTACGGTCCTGGGGTTACGGGTGTATGCTTACTAAATCAGTCCATTGATTGGCTTGTCATCGTCCTAATTCCATAGCCTAGACAGAGTACAAAGGAGGCAGAAAGATACTAAGCCTCTTGTTGCTTTTGCTGTCTTCTGATGCCATGAATGGCTGCCCCTCAGCCATGTGCCACCCTGCCTTGGAGCCAGCTGAGTATGGAGTGAAACCTCTACAAACTGTGAGCTAAATAAACCTTTCTCCCTTCAACTTTGAGGGTGAGGTATTTTGTCTCAGCAAAAAAAGTAACTAACAGTTGCCCTGACTGCCTAAGGCAACATCATGTCAGAGCTTCAAATGTAACGCAGAAATTCAGGTTGGAAATACCATTATGCCCTAAATACTCCAAACATTTTACTAGCACCTTGGCTTACAAAGCAATTTTCCATGTATCTCTGTACTGTTGAATCTGCAAGTCTTGTAGGGTTAGCTGTTATTTTAATTCCATTTTAGTGGTGAGAAAAATGGCCTTCTTCAGAGCTGCAAAGACGTTACTGAGCTGGCCCTAGAGGGCACATCAAGTCCCCAGACCCTTCCTTGTACCTTCTCCCTCATTTCAAATAAAGTGGCAGCCTGGGTTGCTCCTCATGACACAGTAGCCAACTGTCTAGGATGCTTACCAAGTCTCTGGAGGTGAAGGGAAAACCAAAATGATGTCTTTAACTTCGCTTGGTACAAAATCTGCAGGGGTCGTACTAAGTAGGGGTGAAAATCATGACAGGAGGATCCCTAGCAACACAGCTGTTTTGGGGCCCCAGCCTTCCCTTATTGCCAGCCTGCCCTGACTGGTCAGGGGCTCACCGTCAGGGCCAGTGGGGCAGGTGGAGGTGACATCAGCGGCTGCCATCACTTGCAGCAGAGTTCGAGGCGCTCTGGCATCCCACAGCCTCCTGTCTGCTGCAGCTACAGCATCCTGAGCAGACAGCTCTGCGTGTAAGAAAGAAATTCTTAGTTCAAAAGCACCCACAGCGGGACTCCTTGCACCGAACAGACCAGCAGCTGGTGTGTGCAGAACCCAGCATCTGCCACTCTTCTAACAGAAACGGGAAGTTTCAGGACCACGATTCCAAGCAGGTTGAGAGCTGCTTCACTTAGCATGATTGACCAGCACTAGCGCTAAGGAAACACGAGTGGTGAGAATGGGCCAGTTCACTGCAGTACGCCCGGCAGCTCTAACTCCCACAGTTCCCCGAGGTACAACCCATTCCGAGCTCTTAACTCAAAAAATGACTTTAATAGCTTTTTATCACTGTGTTTCACTAGAGGCCTCTGAAGTAGAAGAAAATAAAAATCACCCATAACTCACTGTCCAGAGGCACTGAAATATCAAAAATTTCTCCCTTCATATCATTTTTGCAGTTTTCATACACAAATTGAGCCCCACACAACATAACTTCTCATTACTTGCTTTCTTCAGCTAGCTACATATGGTACCCACGTTATTAAGTACTCTTCTCTAAGATCATTTTAAAGCAAATATGGTAGTCTAGCTTGTGAATATATTATAATTTAATTCTTTTTGCTGGCTTTAGATTGCTAGCAATTTTTCACGGTGATAATTAATACTATACTGTTTACCCTATTGAAAATGACAATTCTAGACACTAGTACTGTTTGCCATACCAAAGCTTTTATTGTTGATTGTGATTTCTGTATGTATTTTGAATATCTATTCCCCCTATGATTACCTGGTGTTTTTTTTTTTTTTTTCATCTTCTTTTTAAAGATGCTTCCTATTGGTATGTGCCAGTGACACGGAATGATTCCATCTGTTATCTTGGGGAGTTGGTACCACATACTCATCACATCTTAATCATGTTACTTCCCTTCTCCTTCCAGTTCTCTCTTCTCCCCCCGCCCTCCGGACCCCTCCCCATCTCCACGAAGTCCACCTCCCTGTCTTGGATCACCTCTTCATGCGAGACCCTGACTCCCACACTGGTCTTTTCTACCCAGATTAGGCCGTCTTTGGTCTGGCCCCCAGCAGCCAGCAGATCCTTCTCAGTTACAAATACCAGCACTCTTGACAGAAAGGCATCCCCGCCTCGGGCTAAACCCAGGGCCCGTGGCAAGCCAAGCTTGGGGAGTGGGGGACTTCCCTACTCTGCGGCAAGCTGGCCTAGGACACACGTGTGCTGCCTCCCCGCTGCTCATCACTTCCGTGATACTGAGGGCAGCGCCGAGGTTTCTCTGCCTTCAGGCTCCCCATCATGAGCATACTTTGTGGCAGGCAGAGGGAGATCCTTGATGAGATGCGTCAGATTAAGATATTTCCAAATTGAAATGAGGCAAATGATATCCTAGAAAGGGGAAACTGAGTCAAGCCAGGTGTGAAAATGCTCACATGGCTCAAAGAGAAGACGGCTGCTCCCACAGGCCGTGGAAAGCTGTGTGGACCCCGTGGCTGGTGAGGGGAAAGGGGGTGCTGGGTGGGAAAGGCGGGTCAGCAGGAACAGGGCACGCAGTGTTCAGTTTGGTAAACTTTACCGTATGGGTATTATCTCCCCCAAAACAAATATTCTGAGCAGGATTTTTGTCCTCATCATGACCAAGCGTGGTGTTACCACTGCTGCTACCCTGCACTCCTCAGAGGAAACTCAGATCAGAGCACGGGCTTAACTTGCAAGTTTCCCAGGACCAGAAAGTGCAGCGCCAGCTGGGCCTCAAACTCCCACGGTCTCACCAGCCGTGGACCGGGCTGGTCCATCCCGAACACTGGGAATGGAGGAGGAGGAAGAGCCCAGAGTCCTCTCAGCAGAGGCTGTCACTCTGG